TATTACCTCAATTAAATCAAGTAAATATTTCCTTTATTTTAATAGTTTTTAATTAATAATATGTGTTACTATGTTAAGTGGATTGTTATCAAATATAAATTTAGGTCAAATTTTTTAAAAGGCAGAGTTTGATTTAGTGAAGTCAAATTTAGTGAATTGCCACGATGCCAAATCAAGCAAAGAATCATGATAAAAATTGAAAGTTTGTGTGCTTGCTCTGTCTGAAAATATGTTTAAGACAGCTTGCTACTTTTCAAGCAGATCGAATATGCCAACTGTACAAAACCAAGATCAATATTAGTGATACTTGGGTACCAAAAGGATTCTGCGAATCATGTAGAATTACTTTGCGCAGGAAACAAGAGGGGAAAGAAGTTGCACTCCCTCCTTTGTTTGATTTAAAGTCAATACAAGTGAGACTTGAAACAAGAGGCATGATGTGTTGTTGCCTAATATGCCGAATTGGTCGTTCAAAGCTGCAAGAAAAACATCCTCTTATAGAGCGAACCACTATTGAAAAAAAACCAAAGGTGCGTTGCAGCAAATGCCTCAACCCTTTAGGAAAAGGTTTTCCCCACCAATGTTCTCAAATAATGTTAAGGGAAAACATTTAATCTTTAGCAGCAAAAGATGCCAAATCATCAGAACAAATCGCATCTCGAGTTATTTCCAATAAAGAATTATCTCCGGAAGAAACTATTCTACTGGCTAAAGCATCTGGCGGGCCTCCACTTACAGTTACCTCTCACTCAAAGAACTGGTGAAGACACTGGAGTCAAGAGACAAATTATTGTTGGGGTTTCAGAAGATTCCAGAAACACACTCCAATATTGAACAAATCTGGTAATGCAAAGCTGTTTGGCAATGTCATTCGAAAGCCAATCATCTGTAGGCCTGTCAATGTTCTGATTAGGAAAATCATTCCACCGATGGAATTGCATCTCCTCTTAGGAGTTGTCAACCATCTTTTCAAGATCCTTAAAACTGCTTGGATAGAAACTGTTAAGTGGCAAGCTGCCCTCCACATTCAACTGTGCCCGTATCACAGGGGCCATTTTGAGGGAAATGAATGCAGGAAGCTTCTTAAAAATGTGGATATGCTGCAGCAACTTGCTGAGACAAACATTGTTCCCAATATTGTGTGCATAATTAGAGCATTCAAAAGCTTCAATTTAGTTGTCAAGGCTTGCTTTGTATACAAAGCAAGCCTTGACAACTAAATTGATACTTTGCCAGATTTCGCTGAAAAAATTAAAAACCTCAAAAAGTGTTACCTATTGATAACTGGCGCAAGCGTAACACCTAAAATTCACGCAGTCTTATACCACACCAAGAATTTCATCACTCACAAAGGATCCCCCTTGGGGCCCTATAGTGAACATACTGTCGAAACTTCTCATTAAGATTTTTACCAAAATTGGTCGAGGTATAAGCGAAATAATAATCATCCAGAGTACAAATAAAGATTGTTGCGCTGCATAATTGATCTAAACAGTAAGCATCTTTAAAGAACATCATTTGAGTTATTAGAAATTAGGCTGCTGAAATTAATATTTTACGGCCTATAATGAATATTTTCACCATCTTTAAAAGTAGTATTGTAGAGTATTTGTATTAAAAGAGTACATTGAGCTATTTATTAATAATTTTAAAAGTAAATGTATTTAAGGAGGTCAATGCAAAATATTTTAGGAGATCTACTTTTCTTTTTTATTTTACTAACTGATAGTCGTTTGACCAGGTTTTGAACTTTTTTTTAGCTTTTTTTTTTGGCAGCAGCTTATACCTTAGGTATAAGCGTAGCATACATGGCCATCAACGTCGGGGAGGCTAGGGGGTCCTTTCTACTTTTTTTTTTGCGAGGCCTTTTTTTGCTTTTATTTCCTTTTCTACTTTTTTTTTTGCGAGGACCTTTTGTTTTAGAAATATAGGAAATTATTTTAGAAATTATGGATTTTATTTCAGAAATTGAGAGGTTGACCCCCTCCACTTTGAAGGCTGTTACGACAATATTAGCATAAGACTATTTAAATCAAGCTTTAAGTAGCAAATCACTATTTTGGTCTATAAAATGAAAACTGTACATGTACCAATAAAATAATTATAACAAAAACTGTTGGTATTACATAGTAGAACACTCATGTAACCATTATTTTAAAAATAGTGACCAAATTTCAAAGTAATTGCTAAAGCTTTGAGGTATAAGTAGCAAAAAACTAAAACTGCAATAAATACTACACCAGTCATCCAATCAGTCTGAAATTTTGTCCAGAGTTTGGTGTGACTATTGGCTACATTTGCACTAATTTTTATCAAATTATATTGAGTGGTTCCAATTCTACAAGTGTTTTTATTGGCGCACTATGAAGTCAAAATTTGACTTAATTTGAACATTCAAATTAAATTATTTTTTGCTGACAAAATTAAATGATTTCAAAATTTGCATCACAGGGTACCTTCATGTGTACGCTAACTTTCCGTATAAGTGGCATTCTTGGGATAGCTAGGTAGGCATTATAAGGATCCGTGCTAATCGTGACTGTCATCTAAAGCTCTTTTTAAAAAAAAAAATTAAAACAATGATAAAACTTATATCAGTATCTTTACTTTTACTATATTTTTAGCTTTATAAAGTCTGATACGAAGCTTAAAACTAATAGTTACATAAAAAAACGCAGCACATTACCCTTTTTCAACGCTTCACAACAGGGCTACACAAAAACATCAAAAATTGTTTATAACCCTTACAACTTGCTAAAACAATGCTATGGTTTGATAAAATTATTTTTTTAATCATTTTTTGGCTTAAAAGTGTTCTTAAATAGTTAAAAAAAGAATTTATTGAGGTTAGCATGTTTTCCTGACTTTTTTTTTTTCCCTCTCTCTCTCTCTCTCTCTCACGGAATTGCCCATATATATATATATATATATATATATATATATATATATATATATATATATATATATATATATATATATATATATATATATATATATATATATATATTATTTTAACCAATATAAAGCAAAAGATAGTCAAGCCGGTAAACAAAAGTAAATATTTTTTTCTCAAAATATATATTACTAAAAATATTTTTTTTATTTTTCCAAAAAAATACACTAATACAAAGTATTTTTATATAATTGATTAAATAAACTTTAAGGACTAGAGGCCTTTCAAAAAATCATCAGTAGTGCTGTTATGGTATTGTAGCAAAATTTTTGTATACAAAATAAATTTAGTTGCATATTGTTGCTATGAGTAACTATTTTGATAAATTCAATTCTAATAATACACAGGAAGTATCAATTAAAAGTATCATGTTTTTGTTTGTGCAGATGCTTTTCGTATGATAACAAAAAACTTTCATTGTTAAGCTCATGGAAAACAAAAAACATTTTCCAGTAATTTTACCTCAGTATTTTTCAAACCGTGAAGTAGATGATATAAAAAAATTTTATTTTAGATATATTGATGATGGTTTTATAATCTGGCCAAAATCATCTTGATATCATAAATTTTAAAATTTCTCCAACTGAATTAAATGAATCAATTAGTTTTACAACCGATTTTGGCAAAGAGTTTTCTAAAAATGATAACACCTACAGTGTAATTAACTTTTTAGACATTGCAATTACTCTTGAAAACTATAAAAAAATTCAAGCAGACATTTATTATAAAGAAACGAACACTCATGACTATTTAAACTATAACAGCCATCATCCATTACACATCAAAAAGAATATTCCTTATAATTTAGCTAAAAGAATAATTGTTTTTACATCTAATTACGAAAATGAAAAACTTCGTCTAGCTGAACTAAAGTCATGGTGGAAAGATTGTGAATATCCTGATGTAATTATAGATAAAGCATTCCATAACGCAAAACTACAAGGACCAGCGTCACAAAAGAAGTCTAAAGAAATATTTCCTTTAGTGACAACACTCTATAGTAATCTCAATTGTCAACCTTTAATAACAGAAACTAACCTTTTACTCAAAGTATCTCAGAATGAAAGAGTCAAAAATGATTTTTCTAATATTCATCCGCTATTAGCTTTTAAACAACCTCCTAACTTATTAAGAAGACTTACTTTTTCAAAATTTGAAGCAAATAATAAGAAGATTGGCATATTTAAATGCAAAGACATTCGATGAAAAATATGCAAACTCTACCTTCAAGAAGTAGATGAGTTTGAAACTTCTAATGGTACTATCTGGAAAATAAAAAGTCACATCACATGCAACAGCAAAAATATAATTTATTACCTTAAATGTTTGGCATGCAAAAAACAAGCCACATATACTGGCAAAACTAACAATTTAAGATTACGAATAAATGGACATATTTCTAGTTGCAGAACTGGCCTATCAACAATTAGATTTGACAACCACGTTTATACATGTCAACGCTTCCACCAAAATGTAATTGAACCTTTTTTTCAACTTTTTGTTTTCCTTGAGCTTAACAATGAAAGTTTTTTGTTATCATACGAAAAGCATCTGCACAAACAAAAACATGATACTTTTAATTGATACTTCCTGTGTATTATTAGAATTGAATTTATCAAAATAGTTACTCATAGCAACAATATGCAACTAAATTTATTTTGTATACAAAAACTTTGCTACAATACCATAACAGCACTACTGATGATTTTTTGAAAGGCCTCTAGTCCTTAAAGTTTATTTAATCAATTATATAAAAATACTTTGTATTAGTGTATTTTTTTGGAAAAATAAAAAAAATATTTTTAGTAATATATATTTTGAGAAAAAAATATTTACTTTTGTTTACCGGCTTGACTATCTTTTGCTTTATATTGGTTAAAATAATATATATATATATATATATATATATATATATATATATATATATATATATATATATATATATATATATATATATATATATATATATATATATATATATATATATGTATATCTTTATATATATAAACATATATAAACATATATATAAACAGAATAAAACAATTACCTGATTTTGTTAATTTAATTGCATCAACCTTGCATAAATTCATTTCCTCTGAATTGTCGATACTTGTTGTCCATATTCCGTTGCCTATTTTTATTTGGTCAGCATGTTTTACATTATAATGATCAGTATAAACAAGATGTTTTGGTGAAAGAGTGACAGAACTTCCATTTTTGCAACTTATTTTGAGAAAATTCATCTTTTTGGTCTCATTTTTGTGTGCGAACATGTACACTGTGGAGTATATAAATTTCTTAGTTTTGGTTTCAAATGATAAAACTTTATCGCCAACATTTAATTCTTTTATTAACTTGATTTCAGGGTAAATTTTCATAACAATTATTTTTCCATTTCCTGAAAAACAACTACTGGTTTCAGGTTCTGCATCATTTGCAGCAGCATTACGGGTCTCAGGTGCTTTAACACTATTTTTTGTAATTCTTCTATTAAAAGATCTTTTTGTTTTTGAAATACCAAGCAAATGCTCAAAAGCAGTTTGACAAGTTTCACCTTTTTTTTTGTCTATAGAAGAAACAAAATCTGCAATAGATTGAAGTTCCAAGTTTCTTTTTAAAACAGAAGGTTTTAAAGTTAAAGAAGCTTTCCAAGATTTAAATGCGTTGGAGGAGTCAATTGTTTCAATCTTCTTCAAATTTGAAATTTGCGTTGTTGACACGCCTCCAATCCAATTAAGTTCTATATCTGTTAAAGATAGATTTAGATCAAAATATTTACCACAGTCTTGACTTTTTTGAAAGCCGTGTTTCAGCATCTTTAGGCCATATTTTAGTTGATCTTTAATCAATTCTTCATTAATTTGGTTCGAATGAGTTTTTTTTAATTCAACACTCCCTCCTAAATATGCTAATGTTACAATGTAATACCCCCATCTCTCAAAAAAATTTCTAAAAAATTCTGTAACATTAGAATCATTTGCTACAAAACAGGTTGGAAAATCAGAAGTAACAACAGCTTCCTTAAAAAGTTTGCTCAATTTGAGTTTGCTGGTATCAGGTATGCACAATTTGTGAGTTCTAATTTCATGAAAATATGACAAATTTGATTTAATAGACGAACCATTTAAATTGTCTTTCTTGCTTAAAATAAATTTTGCTTCTACTTTATCACCTAATCCAATTGCATTCAGTTGTTGTGTTGTAAAAAGTTCTGAATCTGGTCCCAAAAAATATGAAGTCTTGCTTTTATCACAAGTGATATCAAAACCTTTTTTAATATTAAACTGTTGATGGTTTTCTTCTTGATTTTTTTCTGATTCTTCTAATTCAAAGATACTGGTCTCTTTTATTTTGTCGTAAAAAACATCATAACCTTTTCCAACAAATATTTCGCCCAAAACTTCTGCATCACCAGAATAGTATTGTGACTGTAAAAGTAATCATATTTTAGTAAAGTAATTGTAGAAATTTAATGTTAAAAAAGCAGAATTTAATTTTCAAAATATAAGCTCTCACTACAAATATATTTAAAAACAATTCCATATATATATATATATATATATATATATATATATATATATATATATATATATATATATATATATATATATATATATATATATATATATATATATATATATATATATATATATATATATATATTTATATTGTGTATATTTAGTTATTGTATTGTTTTGAGTATTGTATGGGTTATTTTTTGTTTTTATAAGTATTGAAACACTCGTGGCTTACAATTCAAGACAATCTAGTTGAAAAAGTTTACATAGTTTTTATATATATTTAAAATACTTATTTTATTTGCAATACTTAGTTATTAATAATTTTAACTAAAGAAACATTTACACAAAAATAATAAAGTGGCCATTAAGTGAATATATATCTATACATATTTACCCAGGTCACTGATTCCCTGATAGTGTAACGCTGATGTAACGCTTACATATTATTCATGCGAAAGTTATTTTATTTAAAAGTGCGTAAATTACTTTTAAAATATCATGCGTCAAAACGAGTTCATTTTATTTGAATTTTATTAACTTATAGTGTTACAATATTGTGTGGTGTAGTGGTTAATAAATTTGTTTTTGGTGCCTGCGTTCCGAGTACAATTCCTATTGGAATTTATTTTTATTTTTTTTTAGAATATTTTTTTATTAATTAACTAATTGATGCTAATATATTAATAATAATTATAATAATAATATAATAAAAGACACGGAGGTAATAAATAGTTAAGTAATTCAGTTAACAAATAACATAAATGCGTGTAAACATGTCTTGCTTTTAAAGAAAAACGTTGTCGTTAATGTTCTTACTCTCGAGTTTTTAATACAAGGGAAGGGGGGGGGGAGGGAATAAAAAGAGGGGAGGTGGAAGTTTTAGTCTAGATCTAATAAACAGGGGGCAGGGAAAGGGGTTTTTAATAGAAGGACGAGTGGGAGTTTTTCTATGATACAATATAAGTATTTTTTATAAAAAAGTTTAGTTTATAAAATTTTTTTTACAAAAATTTAAACTATTTAGGTCTAGTGTGGCTTGCGGTCAAATTTTTGAATTTTAACTTAACTTTACTTTTAAATTAACTTTACAACTGCTAACAATACAATCCAATAATTTATATATAGCAAATTATAAGATATTGTTTGTTTTTGTTTTTTGTCAAATTTTTGTAAACTCGATAGCATATGTAAAATTTACAAAAATTCGAGATTTAACTTCGGATAACAATATTCTATATAATTTTATGACAAAATTATTTCAATATTAAAAACTATTTGTTTTACAAATTCATTATGCTGTATTCAAATATACAAATTCATTATGCTGTTTTAGCATAATTTCAATAGGATTTAATATGCTGAACCGAGACAACCAGGGTGCGGATTCACAAAACTTTTGTAACTCTTGCGTAACTTATGGAAATCGTATGCAAATTTAATTTTTATTAACTACTGGTATTCACAAACATTTCACAGCGTTTGCGTAAAGTTAAGTTTGCGCAAAAAGCTACGCTTTACTTACGCAAAAAATCTTAAGATTTTTTGCGTAAGTAATTAGAAAAAAATGAGATATCATTCGTTTACATTTTAACTAAAATGAACAAGGTAGTATAAATGTATCAATAGAGCAACTATTATATATACTCAACTACTTTTACAATTACTACAGCAACTTTTTTTTTTAAATTTTAAATCTAAGAAAATTGGTTAACTAGTGAAAATAAATTTAAACTTGAAAAAAAATAAGGAATTTAAATTTAATCATTATTTTAAGGAATTATAGATACGAAAATTTTTTTTTGTGAAAATACGCTTTATTTGAGACTCAGATTAACATACTTAAAAAAAAATTTTTTTTTTGTCAATATTACAAACTTTTACCCTTGAGAAATAATAAATTGAATTCTTAGTTCAGCAACAAAAAATTTTTGTTGTTGTTGACCTGTGCAACTTTTAAAAGCACTATTTTAAAGGAGTTTTTTTTTTAATAAATTAATTGAAATGTTAGTTAGAGGTTTCAAAGATTTCTAATCAAGTTGAATGAAAACTGCTATTAGAGTATTAATTACTACCTGTAATAAATATTTATTAACTGCAATAAATTTAATAACATCTATTTAACAACTACAATAAATTAAGGTGGTCAAATTTCTAAAATCGTTTATTTTTAACAAATATTATTTTATAGATAATATCAAAAAATTGCTTTAGAAAAAAATAAAAAATAAAAATTTCACATTTGGACCCTAGTTTTGTGTCACAAACCATAAAAAAGCCAGGAGATACATCAATAGGTATTGAGATAATGGTAGTTCCTATGAAAGCTAAAACTTTCAGTGTTTACTTATATTATAACAAGATACTCAATGAAGCAAAATCATTAACTTAGCTTAAAGTATGAAGATGTTATAGCATAAACAACTAATTAGCCAAAATTTATTTTAAAATCGCTCACTTTAGAAAACCATAACTCTGCTCAAGAAAAAAATCAAAAAAAAATTTATTGCTTCAATGAGTTTATCAAATATATTATTACAATTGTACAAAATTTCAAAGTACTACAACAAGTAGTTATTCAAGTTATTTATTGTAGCATGCTAAAAATAGCATTCTGAGATAAACACAATTTAAGATAGTTAAAATTGAAAAAAATAAGTTAAAATATTAAAACAAACTTTGATTTCTAAAGATTTGTTATCACTCCTCAATGTAAGAGCAGTAGTCTAATTTTATAAAAGCAGTAGTCTAATTTTATAAAAGCAGTAGTCTAATTTTATAAAAGCAGTAGTCTAAACTTATAAAAAGTTTTTTATAAGCTTTATTTAACTGTTTAAGTTTCATACAGAAATTAATATTTATGTTTAGCAAAACTGAAAAATTTAAAAATTATAAATAAATATTCTATAAAATATAAAAATTCTGGTAACCCTATTTCAAATTTCAATAAAAATATCAACTGGAAGATTGAATTAAACTAAAATCATTAAAAACATCCAGCATCATAGTTATTTCGTCTCATTTTATTTATCTTAATCAATTTAACTTTTTTATTTTGCTCTAATTTGTTTCCAATGTTGGTTTAATTTATCACTTGATTTTTTTGCTATATTTTTAATTTTTTATCTTTTTGATTGCAAAACATATAATTATTACCAGGATTATAAGTTCTAAATAAATATTTACTACTTCATCTTTTAAATACCATTTTTAAATTTTTGTAAATAAAGAACTTTTATTGTTTTGAGTTTTTTCAAGGCACCTTTCTAACATGTTTTTATCAGATAAATCAACAAATATTAGCTTGATTATGTAATTACCACAGGCTGTCTTGGTTTTTCTATTCGCAATTTTTTTCAATGTCTCAATAATATTGTCTGCTTAAAATTTGCACCGGGTATTAATAGTTCCACAACACATTGAATGTCTTAATTCTGAAAATGATGCCTCAAATTCACAAAACCACAGCTTTTGTAATATCTTTTTTCAATTTCATGCAATGCAATTACTAAATATAGATTTATACTAAAAATCATTAGAATTTTTATTTGAAACTTTTTTACTGGTAAAAAAACTTCATATTTCATAAACACTCAGTGCACTTAGCAACAAAGAACTTAGCAACAAAGAGCTTATTTTTTTTTAATACATACTATATGCCCTGACTGTGAGACTGTGACATGCCCTGACTGCGAGACTTCATCTCACAGGGCATGCTCAAACAAAGGCAAGAGATTGTATAATAATGTCAACATCAATTTAAAGATTATTGTAAGGTTGTGGAATAGCTTCATCATTGAACATGAGATAGTTGATCGAGATTACATTTAGGCATAAAAAAAATAATGATGATTCTTCATTCACATTTCAAAAATTAACTGGCAATCTTGATTTTCGTCATCCTTTTTTTAAAAAAACTTAAGAAGCACAAGTTTTTCTTCTCCTCTAATTTATTCTATTTCCTCTATAATTATTCTAGTTGCACATTATAAAACATCAGTTTTTATAATGTGCAATTAGAATAATATATTTATTTTATTCTTCACTAAAAATAAGAATAATAAAGAATTAAACTCAGGTTATATTTACCATTAATAAGTAAAAAAAATAAAAATAAATTAAACAACATTTAAGCACAGTAAAGTGGTTTGGTTATATAATTTTTATAGCAAAAAAACGCCAAACTCTCACTCAGTATTTTTTAAAACCTTATTTTGGAAAATGATTGCTCAAGCAATTCACTTTAGAACATTATTTTAAATAAAAAATCAAAACATTTAGACCATACTTTAAGATTTTGATATTTTTGACCACCTGAAATACAACTTCAAAAAATACGATTTCACACACTATATATATATATATATATATATATATATATATATATATATATATATATATATATTATATATATATATATATATATATATATATATATATATATATATATATTAGGGTGGAGTGATTTTGGAATCAGAACTATAGTAACCCTGGAGTAAATAGATTATCAAAAAATAATAATAAAATGCATTATTTGCTAATAATGCCTGGAAAATGGCTGGTTTACAAAAATGTACATTTATTAAGACATAATCTATTTTTGTGGAAAACTGCCATTTTTCGATTTTTTTTAAAAGTGGGCATACGCATTGTGCGTTGTTTTGTTGCTTTTAGATTATAATTTATAAATAGCAAATAATTTATAGAAAAAAAGCCTAAAAGCAAATCAAGGAAAACTCGTTTAGAAAATAGTCTGAAATACGGAGGTCTCCCATCAGAAATGCCTTCAGCTGATCTTCCAACATTTCGTCAAGTAATGTCTTCCTCTTCTTCAGAGAAATTCAACCTTAAGAAAATTACAAAATCTTTTTGAAAGAGTAAAATCTATAAACCGAGGACGTTGTAAATCTAAAAGTAAGGAGTATCATGATTTGATTTTAGATAAACTCTTTGATATTTCATCATGTACTTGTGAATTAACAACTGTTTTATGTAATGACCGAAATGTTAAGTGTAGCATCATCAATTGCCAAGTAGAGCACATCTTGTGTCTTTGTAAAACTAGAAAGGTATTTGATTACATTTTTTATATATTATTGTATATACTAAAATATTTGTTGTTTTAATCTGCAATTATTTATTAATTATATATAATTATTTCACTTCAATTAAACTGAAGTAGTTGATTACTTTCAATAATTGTATTTAAGGTCCCTTCTGAAGACAGGGCATATATTTGTGACCAGAGAAACAAGATTGGTCCTAAAGGTATTTACCAGCTAGGAAAGGCTGATTTAAAATCTGGTACATTTATTCCGCAAAGGTTTGTTCAAGTAGAGCTTATAGATCATGTCAAAATGCCTTACGCCCATAACTCATTGATTGATTCTGGTCACATATCTGAATTTTCAGCATCCGATCCAAATGTTTTGGTAACATTTTTATGCATATTTGTATATATATAATTATATATATACATATATATATATATATATATATATATATATATATATATATATATATATATATATATACATATATATATATACATATATATATATATTTGTATATATATAATTTTATTTGTATTTAACATATTTGTATATATATAATTATATATATACATATATATATATATATATATATATATATATATATATATATATATATATATATATACATATATATATATATATATATATATATATATATATATATATATATATATATATATATAAATAAATATATATATATATATATATATATAAATAAATAAATATATATATATATATATATATATATATATATATATATATATATATATATATACATATATATATATATATATATATATATATATATATATATATGTATATATATATATATATATATATATATATATATATATATATATATATATATATATATATATATATATATATATATATATATATATTTATCATCATCATCATCAGCCATATTATTCAGATTTGAATAATATGGCTGATGATTGCCGAATGGCATGAAACTTTTAGTTCCATTATAAAGTTGTATTTTTTTTCATTTAAATTATTTTAATATAATTTGATCTATCTTTTTTAAAAAAAGATATTGATCACTCTTAAACCGACAAGAGTTGTATTTCCAGCAGTATACAACATTTATCAATATATATATATATATATATATATATATATATATATATATATATATATATATATATATATATATATATATATATATATATATATATATATATATATATATATAAATTAGTAGAAAATCACTTAACAAATTTTTTTTTTCATTATACACTGTGTTTCATCAACAAAGACTCATCAGAAATGAATTATCAAATTAATAAAACTTCAATTTATACCAAAAAATTACAGGAAGTCGCAAATGTTTTAACTACTGTAAATTTTCACACATTTGTGGAATTTACTGACACTATTATAAAAAGAATTCTTTAGAAAGTATTACTTATGCTTTTTTTTATAAAAATATTTTGAAAAAAAGGGGGGATTGAATGTAACTATTATTTGAGCTCACTTATTTTTATAGTTTTTTTGGAGAAACTAATTTTTGTGCCTGCATTTAGAAATCAATACCGATTTTTTGTTTAACAAACATTCTTGGTTTGCATGTGTAATTATTTGAAATTTTTCTTGTAGACATAGTATGCATTTTCCAGTAATTTAATTTTTTCTTCCTGTAATTTAATTTTTTGGTATAAATTGCAGTTTTATTAATTTGATAATTCATTCCTGATGTGTCTTTGTTGATGAAACACAGTGTAAAATAAAAATAAATTTTTGTTAAGTGATTGTCTACTAATTTATAATTGCTCTGTTCTTTTAAGAACATTGATCACTCTATTTTGTAGAACACATTTTTTAAAATTGTTTAAATATATATATATATATATATATATATATATATATATATATATATATATATATATATATATATATATATATATATATATATATATATATATATATATATACACATACATGCATATATGTATATGTATGTATGTATATACATACATATATATATACATTTGGCATAACTTGCAAATGCTCTACTTCTAGATTATGGAATCATTAAATATGGAGATTTTAATCAAGTTGTAGATCGAAGCAAAATTGAGAGGTAAATAAACTATTTCATTATATAAGTTAGACAAATATAAATATATCTCTTTATTTAATGATTTATATAAATGCTCATTTACAAAACATTTAATATGATACTTAGCTAAATATAACACTTTGAATTGTTTTATAGAGAGAAGAAGAAAGTAATGTCTAGATATGGTAATCAACATGATAATAATTTAAGTAACTTGGTGTGTTTGGGTGTTGATGGTAAAGATGATAAAAATGTTCTTCAGTTTAAGGATGACGATTATTAAGAAATAAACGACTTTGTGGTTTTTTAATAATAAATTTTGTTATGCATTTGATGTTAATAAAACATATTTATATAAATGTACTTACTTTTTTCAATGTGAGGAATATAAAAATGTGTTTAGGATTTAGGACCAATGCAGTAGTAGGGTAGTGGTAAAGTGTTCAACTCGACATTTGCAAGGTATTTATTTTAGAAATATTTCGCCTTTGGCAATTGAAATCTTGATAAACACTTATATTCATGAATTTAATTGATAAACACTTATATTCATGAATTTATTTAAAAACATGTTCGGATTTTGGTGATGGTTATCCATGACTATTTTTATTACCCGTTTATTACTGTAATAGTTGATCACTGTAATAATCACTGTTTTCGAATAAAAAATTAAGCACTTTAGGGTTCATAGAAATAATTTTTGAAGGTTTTTGCAAATAGTGTAATGCTTCAGCCTCATCTAAATTCACAATTGGCTCGATATTTTAAACGAAATGGGTACACGTACCAATTACGTTTAAAGTATTTAGTCAAAATTAAATTGTTCAATTTATTAATCCTTTATTCATATCTGGTAATTATTAATTACTTACATCTTGGATAATCTTGAGGTCAAAATTACTTAAGTTGTTTGTAAGCACTTTCAAGACCTATATAACTATAATTATCTAAATTCTTTAGTATATAATTATACAAAATTTTCAACTAATCTTAATTTTTCAATTTACCTTAAAAAACTAAAAATGACTTACATAAGTAGACTTTGTATATACAGTTTAGTTATATAAGTAATTTTAAGTTTGCCGTTCAAAACTTGATTGTATTTTATATATATTAACAGATACGTGTTTAAATGAGTTATAAAAACTAGCTACAAATAAATTAAATGTTTAAATGCGTATATTGCTTATATACCATTATATTAAATAAAATTTTTATAATTTATTATTAATTTATTTGACCATTTTATAATGAATGAATTTATTTGAAAAAAAAAAAACTTTTGACTTTTTTATTAATTGATTTCATAAATTGCAGAATAAACGTGAAAATTAAAAAAAATTGCGTTTATTTGCATTTTTTCAAATTCGATTAAGAGTGCCATTTTTTATTTTGGATAGCTGAAATTTTTTATGAGCTCATATTTTACCCTGTTGAACTTACTCCCGGGTTACTAAAGTTGAATTTCCAAAAAAGTATGCAAATCACTCCACCCTAATATATATATATATATATATATATATATATATATATATATATATATATATATATATATATATATATATATATATATATATATATATATATATATATATATATATATATATATATATATATAATGTGAAATCGTATTTTTTGAAGTTATTATATATATATATATATATATATATACATATTCTTGTAAATAGTGAAGTCGTATTTGTTTGAAGTCATATTTCAGTTGGTCAAAAATATCAAAATCTAAAGGTATGGTCTAAATACTTTCATATTTTTTAAAGTGTGTATATATATATATATATATATATATATATATATATATATATATATATATATATATATATATTGAATTATATTCAAGTTAAAAAGGTAATACAAAACTCAATTAACTGAAAATAATTGTATCAAATTTTTTATGAACTTAATTCTTAAGTTATATATTATAAATACATTTTATTAAACATAAAACTACTTAACTTAATCTTTTAATAAACATAAATTTATTGAACTTAATATTGGGAATATTACCTTTTCCCTTCAAACTAAAAGATTGAGTAGCACCAATTTACAGCTTATATATTTGTAATCACATGCTAACTAGAGATAGCGGGAATTATTTATGTTGTTCGCAGGATCCCGGGAAAATCCCAAGAAAGTACATTTATTACATAATAAAATACAAATAAATATATATTTTTATTATTCTTTTCACTTTGTTTTTAAAACTATTTTTGTGATATAAAGTGACCTTTTAGAAAAACAAGTGAATCCAGATGACTGTCTGACAATCTAGTTCTAAACTTTTTAAAAAATAAGCCTGTTGAACTAAACACTCTTTCAGCTTCAACACTGGAAGGTCGAATAGTTAAAAGTGCATTATAAAGCATATCTAAATTATATGATCTTTTGTTAGTTGCTTCAAACAAATTAAATTCTTGATGCATAGTTGATTTATTACAACTGACTACAAAGTTGTCCTTTTTTCTCAAAAATTTGTCTAATCTTTCAGCCATAGATTCAGATGGCTTTTCTAAATTGACATTACTATTGTTAAACTTATCATTATCTCCTACTTTTGGTATATTTTCAATTATGGGGAAAAGTCTACCAGTTATGTCAATAGCTATATTTATCATCTCTGTTTTAGATGGTATGCAAAATAAGTTATTATACATATTATGTAAAAACATTAATAAACCAACAAGATCACTTTTTTTTCTTTGACATATCCTTTCAACTAGAGCAATCATAAGATTAGGATCAAGTTCTGTAACAACAAATTTTAATGTGTTGTCAGCTGTTAATGTTACTTCCCTTCTACAAATCATTTAAGAACCTAAAATAATCAGCTGAAGACTTTTTGCTAAACTTTCAACTACTTCAAGCTCATCATCAGACAACATAAGTTTTTCTAAACTGAAATCCACCAGAGATTTACCAATTGCTTTCTTAACTTTAATAAATCTTTGAATCATGGCAAGCATTGAATTCCAACGAGTTTTTGAATCTAAAATAAATACTAGCTCTTGTTCAAATTCATTTTTAGAAAAACGTTTCAAAGTATCCATTTTTAAGGGAGATCTTTTAAAAGTCACAACAATTTTACGAACTTTAACCAGAACCTTATGAAGCTTAGGAACAAGATCAGGAGCACGGTCACTATTTTCATTTTCATCATCATCATCACCATCATCATCATCATCATCATCATCATCATCATCATCATCATCATCATCATCATCATCATCATCATCATCATCATCATCATCATCATCATCATCATCATCATCATCATCATCATCATCATCATCATCATCATCATCATTATCATCATCATCATTATCATCATCATAATCATCATCAAAAACATCAAAATCATCTTCAATATCTACTTCATTAGAAATCTGATTATTTTCAACTTTATTTTTATAAATTACATCAACTACAGCTAAATGTATAAAATGTGCAAAACAAAGTTGATATTCAGCAGGAGAAATATTTCCTAATTTTATAAAATAACGGAAGCCCCATCTGTTGTTATGCAAACCACATCACTGGAAAGACTCACATTAAACATGTCTAGTTTTTTGATAAGTAGTTTAAGGCAATCATTTGCATTATGCGATCCAATTATTCTCTCTAATCCGAGATTTATAAATCCAGTATTATAGTAAAGATTTATATTCATAAACCCATATTTTGAATATTCATCCAAATCTATACTGAACTTGAATTCTTTTTTTATTTATTTCACGTATTGGCCTTTTTTTTCTACAATTATTTCCATATAATATTTATACATAAAGTTCATGACATCTGTTTTAGATTTTGGTAGACTGTTGCCTTTATCATGAAGCAACTTGGATCGAATTTGATCCGATTCAGCTATTATATAATCGAAGCGAATCGGATCAACGAATTTGATCCGATTCAGCTATTATATAATATAAAATCCATCAATAGCAGCAAATCGAGCCAATTGTTCTCCTAATGAAACTTTTTTTATTATAGAATCAATTGTAGATTGAACACAACGTTTTTTATTAAGCGGTTTATCCTAACATTCTTTATTTAAAATGATATTGTGGATTTTCTCTAAATGTCTTTTCAACCCAACAGTGGTACCGCCTTTGCATAATATTAATTTTGGACAATGTTTACATTGTGCCTCATCATTTTTTTTTAGATCAAAATAACTCCAAACCTTTGAAGTTTTATGATTTGAGGACATTTTTATAACATTAAGTATAATTTTTGTCGCACAGTGATAAAATACAAGTATGCAATAACATTAAGTAATCTTCTGATGGTCCAGAAAACAAAAAATTATAATTTTGGCGGGAAATTTAAACGATGTATTATTTAAATCCATGAGTACCAAAAAAAAATTATCCCAGGATCCCAGAAAAAATTTCCTGGGATTTGGAATTTTTGGTTTATTTTTTTTCCTGTAAATTTCCAGGGAACAAATTCCTGAGAATACTCCCTGCTAACAAACATTATTCTTTATTAACAAACATTATTCATTGTTAATAGAATAAAATAAGAATTTTTTTAGAACTTGCATAGAATTTCTGCCATCTTTTATGCAACAAATTGACAAAACATATAGATTATTTAGTAAATAACATTTTAGCAGAGTATGTAATTACTACTGCAAAATGACATTCCAGACTAATTTGTAAACAACATTTTAACAGAGTATGTAGTTATTACTGCAAAAGGTACTAGTATAAATTCAAAAAAACTTCTTATTAAACTTTAGTAGTTTAATCAAATTACTTTAATCTATAGCCTATAGTTCCTTAGGCAGTAATATATTTCTGCAAAAGGAACTATAGCCTATAGATTCAACTACTTTAATTAAACTGCTAAAGTTTAATAAGAAATATTTCTTTAAAATATTCATTTTAACAGAGCATGTAGTTATTAATAATTATATACTATGTTAAAATTTTGTTTACTAATTAGTCTGAAATGTCATTTTGCAGTAGTAATTACATAGTCTGCTAAAATGTTATTTACTAAATAATCTATATGTTTTGTCAATTTGTCAAATTTTAAAAAATCTTATCACAAATCTTAACAAAAAAATCAATATATGTGAGCTGCACCAATATTTTAAAGTTACGCCAAAGTTAAGGTAGCACCTACCTAACGTAACTTTTCTTGCTTAAATCGCGCTGAGCATTTTCTTAAGAAGTTTTGTGAATGCCATAATTTGAGAGTTGGACTTAGAAGATAGAACCGCAAGTTTTTTGCGCAAGTTTTGTGAATGCAAAATAAGTAAATTCGTCGTAAGTTCCAAACTTATGTCAAACTTTAGCTTAAAAAAGTTTTGTGAATCTGCTCCCAGGTCGGCAATTTTCAAAGCCTGTTTACACTGAAAGCTTTTGTTTTTATTGATGACTCAAAAAATTATTTTCTAATTTTTAAGGCAGGCTTTCACTTTTTTTTTTTAGTTTTGAGATATAAATCTGCTCCCAGGTCGGCAATTTTCAAAGCCTGTTTACACTGAAAGCTTTTGTTTTTATTGATGACTCAAAAAATTATTTTCTAATTTTTAAGGCAGGCTTTCACTTTTTTTTTAAGTTTTGAGATATAAAGTTTATGCTGACAACAATTAAAAATTAATAAATGGGGGAGGGAAGGGTGTGTGTGAAGGGAGGGTGTGTGAGTT